GAAGAAGAAGAAGAAGAAGAAGAAGAAGAAGAAGAAGAAGAAGAAGAGATACAGAAATGCACAGATGCAAAAATGTACCGTATATGTGCCGATGTATATCAACAAGAGATGGTATTCAGCAGATTCTGACCAGTTCTGGAGAACTAGTTCTGGAAATTTTGAGTAGTTCAGAGAACCGGCAAATACCACCTGACTGGTCCCGCCCCCATCTATTCTCTGCCTCCCGAGTCCCAGCTGATTGGCTGGGTCTTTTTTTGTTGCTCTACAAAGGAGAACAGAGCTGGAAAGCAGGTTAGTGGGGTAGGGAGGAAATGGGGATTTTGCAGTAACCTTCTCCCAGGAGTGGGGTGGGAAGGGAGATTTTACAGTATCCTTCCCCTAACACACCCACCAAGCCATGCCTACCTAGCCAAGCCATGCCACGCACACCATGCCACACCCACAGAACCGGTAGTAAAAAAATTTGAATCCTGCCACTGATATCAACTTATGTATAGGTGCTAATTTAGAAATAATTAACATAAGATTTTTGTCCTAATCATGATTAATCAAGAGATCCAAGTACCTGCATAGGGTGATTTCCATGTGCTCAGTATTGAAAGGCAACTGGCTGTTCTCATTCTTGATCTTTCATCATAGGCGGTCTACATAACCCTTCAAATTAGGCAATTTCGACCTTTTCCCCCATACTGGAAATGTATTTGGTTTCTGAGACAGGAAAGGCCAGAACAAAATGCTAAAGCTGATTCAAGGAGCTTTATGTTAAAATCTCATTACACCAGTTAAGAACAATTAAAATTACACCCCATGAATGTAATACTTCTCTCGTTTTCTAACACATTAAAAATGACAATTTGGTGGCAACATTTGGAGGGATCCTGCGAATGTATGCAATATTTTTGGGAGGCCACTGCAGCCCTATGCACACTATTGATGAACTACTGAACAGCATCAAATAAAAACTGTCCCCAATGAAGTGGGAAACATAGTAATCCCCTTATTGCTAATTGATTTATTATCAAGGATGGGTTAGAATTTTCTGCATGTCTGAAATAAACCACATTAAGGATAAGGTAAGTAACATCAGATATAGTACATAATTTCTTGCTTGCTTGCCTGTGCATTCATTTTTGACTCTCATGACTCCCTGAATTAATCAGTTTTCTTTGGCAAGTGTTTGTTTCTTGTAGGCTTGATAGAAAGTGATTAGCCCAAAGTCACCCATTTGACTCTCAGGACTAAGGCAAAATTATAGTTCACACTCTCCCGATTTCTACCCATATACCAAACTGGCTGTCATGTGTAATTTCTGCCTTTGCTTCATTACCATATTCATTGGCATAAATCAAACATTATCGGCTGAGGAGATAATTTAGACAATAATTTATCTTAGCTAAAATCTGCCTCTCATTGATCTTGTAAGAAGCTGTTACATGTTTGTATTTTGATATCATCAATCTTTGGTTTTAATTTGTGCCATTCAGTATATTTGGCTTGATAAATGTTGAAGAAAATTGCTTATTTGAAACACAGGAAGACAGAACAGAAAAATAATGCTTTTCTGCTTGCTTGCCTGAAAATAGTTGAGTTTATTTCTATAGTATCTTTGTTTCTCCAGTTTTTTAAAAAAAAAACAACCCTAAATTTTATTTGAGGTAGAAATATAATGGGATTTCTAAATTGAAGGAAGCTGAGACTTATGCTAGAAATGACTATTTTTTTAAAAAAATTAAAAATTAACTTACATTAGGTGACTTTCCAACTGCTTAAATTTCAAAAAAGAACATTTAAGACTTTTATTTTATCCATTTATTATTTACATTGCCTGCAGACCTTTTGTTAAATTTAATAAGCATAGTCCACAACAATACTTGGATCCAATAAGATATTAATATTGTTTCAGAAATGAAGATAGGGACATCTGAGCCAGGATCAACATTTCCATTTTTATGATAACTCCCCTTTATGAGTTACTTTTCAGATAAATAGACAGGTTTGTATACAGGCTTATAAAACTAAAACCAATATGAAAGGAGAAGAGGAAACCTATGGAGGTGTTTTTGTCTTCAGATTACTCCTTAAGAATAACTGGCAGCATATTCAGGCTATAGATGATACCTCTCTTCAAAACTCAGACTGTTAACTTGTGGAATGTAGTAAGCCTAGATGTGGTGATGATTATTAGCTTAGAAAACTTCCAGCTAATGAAGGCTGCCTGTTTCCTGGGAAAATCAGGAAATCCAAGCAGTTCAAATGAATATAAAGGTTATTGAAAGCTTAAGGTCGCCACAAGAATCTGTACTATGAAGGGTCAAAGCAAATTCATGGTATATAAGTGTCAGTGGATTCCAGGTGGGCTGGACTTTCAATGTTGTTTGGGCGTGAAGGGACTTAAGATTGATTATGTGTTTGACCCCTCTCTTGGGCTCAGCCTGGTCATCTACTACAGCAAAGAATTCTGGGAGTTGAAGTCCACAAGTCTTAAGGTTGCCAAGGTTGGAGATCCCTGATCTACAACACTGACCCTTCTAGTCAAAAGACTTCCTGTACCTTACCTTTCCTTCCTGGCTGTCTGCTTCTGAAAACACAGCCATTTGATAATAGTCCTAAAGCACCTTTTTTCCTTCTTTTTCCTTGTAATATTTATTTCCAGTGAAATTAGGAATTGTGAGGCTTGTGAATTAGTAACTCTTTGAGATATTTAAACTCAAGGTTAACATTTTTGCATCCTTGTTTTGGAATGGGCATTTTTAAAAAAAATAATAATGCAATTTTACCGAAGAGATTAAGGGTTTAATTATAATGTAAGGGATTCAGTTTTAAATGCTAATAACTTATAACTTGCTTCTAAATTTTACTTAAATTTATGTTTTACTTCAGCCTTAGACAGTTTGCTTCAAATATTGTTTTCTTTTATTTTAGACATGCTTAAAAGAGAGAAGATCTTCTGATCATCATAAATCTGAAAAGCAAATTCTGGCTTTATAGTACCTGTTGAAAGAATGATTTCTATTACCCAATATTGGACAGCATTGGGAAAGACAATCTTATCAGTTACTGGTAACTTGGTGGTGCTATCAAGGCTCTTTCCTGATAATTTGGTGGTGCTACAAGCAGCTCATCAGTAATACTATCTCATCAGATATTGTCACAATACTGTAGTGTAGATGAAGGATATGACTGCATAATTGCCTTAGTAGTCTGGTACTCTTTAGGTTGGGACTACAAATCCTCACATTTCATGACCGGTGAGTATTTTGTGACTTTTCAGGTTTATCAGATGTAATTTCAGATCTGTACAACAATCCAAATGTCCCTCCCTACCAATCACTCAGTGCAATTATTGGTAGCTTTTAATTGCGCCAACTTCTGGATTCCTCCAGTTATGATAGTAAGGCAAAGAGGAACTATCACAGCAAGAAAAAACTCCGCAATTACTCAGTGATTGAAGTCTTATCAGCTGGAATCTCAATTCCCTGTATGGATTTGAAATCAAGTCTGTCAATATTACAGGTATTCCTCATTCAATGACCACTCATTCAATGACCATTCAAAGTTATGATGGCTCTGAACAAGCACACTTACAACTGGTCTTTGTATTTGTGGCCACTGGAGCATCTCCATAGCTAATTGCACACAGCAATTAGCTTGCAGTTACAACGGTTGTAGCATCCTATGGTCATCTGGTTGCCATTTGAATCTTCACTGCTGGTTTCCAACAAGCGAAGTCATTGGGGAGGCCAGCAGGAATTCCAAATAGAATTAATGTGGCATCTTGCCTAATGACCATGTGGGATTTACTTAATGATGGCAACTGGAATTGCCACAACTGCTAGTGTAACTTGCCACGTTCATGTGATATTACACTTTACAACCACATTGACATGGTTAATGATGGAATTGCCAATCCCAATTGCTGTCGTTAAGTGAGGATGACCGTATTTCATTTCCTACAAGATGAATATACCTGGTTTTCACATTGTTTTCTTTTTAATTTACAAAAATATGCTATAATGTTACTTTAATGTACTTTAACTTAGCAAATAAATAAATATGCTGACAGATAAAGGCAGAATGCACCAATTACCACTGCAAGCAAGAGGAAAATCTTCTACACACAAAATCTACCCATGCCTTCTATAACTTTGTAAACACCAAACTTAAAGACTCAAAAACCACCCCACCCCTAAAAGGTCCTAATGGGAAAGACTACACCAATGAAGCCATTAAGGCAAACCTCTTCAATACGTTCTTCAGTTCAGTCTTTGTAAACAGTAATGATTCATGCCTCACATTTCCTAATTATACAACAACTAACTGCAATGATCTACAAATTGACTTTACTAAAGATAACACAGAAAATGCACTATGCCACCTAAAACCATCCTTATCTATTGGCCCTGATGGCTTATGTGCATTCTTCTTAAAAAGCTCTCCACTATCATAGCAGAACCCCTAAGCATGATATATGAGATATCATTCAGAACCAGCTCCTTACCAAACCTATGGTCTGATGATGTAAAACTATTCAACACTACCGTCAATGTTACCGTCCTTCAAAAAGACCTTGATTATGTGTCTGAATGGTCTAACAGTTGGCAACTCCAAATCTTGTCCAACAAATGCTCTGTCCTACACATTGGTAAAAAAAATCTATTTACCAAATACAAGCTAGGTGGATATGACCTTGTTGATGACCCTCACTCTGTCAAGGACCTTGGAGTTCTCATATTGAATGATCTAAGCGCCAAAGCTCACTGCAACAGTATTGCCAAAAAGTCTTTAAGAGTTGTAAATTGAATTTTATAAAGCTTCTCCTCTGGTAATACTGATTTGCAAACTAGGGCATTCAAACCCCCCCCCCCTTTGACGAAACTAAGGTGCGAGGATTCCTTCAGCACCCAAATGCCGCTTTCCAACCTATGACCGACAAGCTCACCCGGAAGCACTTTCTCAAGTGCCATCGAAACAAGATGGCGGTGCCCAAGCAAAGTAGGTGGCCCAGCACAAAATGATCCACGGACCAGTACCGGTCTGGGGCCCGGTGGTTGCACTAGGGCACACTATTTATTTGGGGTGGTCAAATCACTATTTATTTGGGCCAGTCAAATCAACCTGTTACTGAAATTGTGATGTTCAGAAAAATGATTTCTCATAAGAACCTCCTCTTAAGAAAAGAGGATTAAATACCTGCAACAGAATTTATATTCATTAAAAAAGAGACATGGATACATGAAGTTGAATATCATTTTCCTATTGCTAATTAAAAGTGCCTTCTCCATGGCTGCAGCTTTGGTATCAAAATCAGAACAACTGAATGCCCTGTTTCAAACATGCACTGATTACCTGTGTATGAAAAAAAGAGCTTTAAATAATCATTTCTCCTTTCCAATTTTAAGCATAGTCAGAGAATAGACTGTTGCTTAATTTAACTCCAGCTTTCCTATCTTTGTACCTTTCACATGTTCTTGACTTCATCTCAAGTAGCTTGTAGAGCATTTAGTTTTACTTGACCATAACATCTTGTGGAAGTAGAAAGAAGTAGCTTTGAGTGGAAATTACAAAGAATTATGTGGCAAACATTGCCATAGCATAGTAAAACTTTCCCAGCGTGTTGATTTGGTGAGGTACCATTTATCATCCAGGAGATTCTTTAGCATGGGTTAGTTGCCTGACAAAAGTGAAAAGGGCAAAACAGATAGCGGAAGGTGGAAAGGATGGTTTTATTTTCAGATGCATAAACATGAAATATCTGAATGAAAAACAGCATTTCAATTCTATGTATCATATTCAAAAATAAATCTCAGTATATACACTGAGCTTATTCTTGTGGAAGAATGCTGAAAACTGGGTGCTTATTTGTCATGTCTTCCTAGTGAAACTATTGCTAATAATTGTTGAGTATAAGCTGCCATCGGTATAAATTAATTTAATAAAATCACTGTTTAAGTGCCATTCTCTCTTATCCTTAAGAGCAAATATTAAAAACAGGCAAGGGTTCTTTGGCTCACTTTTAATAGAACAAAACATGATACAGTAATAGTTTTCTCCAAATGCTACTGATGTCTAGTAACCTTCTAAAAATTACATTGCTTTGGGGGGGATTAAAACTGGTTTTTTCCCGCTCATCAGTATGCCAGGAAAACTACATTAGGAAATATTATGACTGAAAGAGGCTACATGTCTACACATATTTTATATACCTTCTTTTTTCTCCAAATAACTGCAGTATGTATACAATTCCAATTCTTATATCCAAATTCGGAGTTCTGAATAACACAGTAGTAAATATTAGATAATCATATTACTGTATCTTACCTTGATTAGCCATCAATTCTGCAGTAATCTACAAGTAGCAATAAAAATACTGAAGATCGTTATGCAAATCCCAATTTTTAATGAATTCAAGTCAGCATGTGGTGAATGGTAGAATTTAAATCTGCTTTATAAGTAAGCTGAACAGTGATTCTTCTGGGTTAGACCATATGTATATGTCCAAAGTACACCTTAGTCGTCTATTTAGTTTTTATTGTGATCCAAGAGAAATAGACAATTATCAGTCCTTTTGCATACCTGTGGGGAGAATTCAGGATATGAAGACTGCAATTTGAAAAGCTCCTGAACTAATTGAGCAATGAATAAATAGAAAGATGGGAAGATCAGGATGGTAGATTAATTAGGAGAGGAGTAAATCAATCGAAAGGCAGGGATTTGACTATCTTGGACGTATATTGGATGCTAATTGGTTTGTTTTCTCTACAATTTTGCGTAATTTGAAAGGCTGTACAATAAAAAGAGACAAGATGAAAAAGCAATTTTATGTTTGTGAGTCAAAATGTAGGCATCGGCATAAAGAGCTACAAAGATAACTTTAGAGAAAGTATGCAGCAAGTGTTATAAAAATGTGTTTTAAGCCTGTGAAAAAAGAAAACATTAAAAAGAAACTTAGATGGTTCTACTCAATTTCTTGGGATAGAAGAAGAAGGAAGGGAAAACACAGTCAAGCTTTCAAAATTTGGTTACTGTGTAGCCTATATCAGTGTTTCTTAATCTTGGCAACTTGAAAATCTGTGTATTTTAACTCCCAGAATTCCAAAGCCAGCATGATTGGAAGGGGAATTCTGGGAGTTGAAGTCCAAACATGTTCAAGTTGCCCAGGTTGAGAACCCTGTCCTATATCAATGGATGACCTACCTTGAACAGTTGACAATTTGTATGTACATGGCAACCTTGAGGCTGCAACATCTTGAAGCAGTCATGAAGAATAACTGCCTCTGTCTATAAAGCCAAAACTTCACTGAGATTTATCTACTCTATGAAGATTCAGAAAGTATCTCCTTATCTGAGTACTGGCACAATGTAGAATTAAACTGAAGATACGTCATAGAAGTTTGTACAGTAACCATTTGGTAAAATCCAGTTCAGAGTACGCTATTCCTCCATTTATACCTTGAAGCTACTTTCTGCAAAACAACTGGCACCATTCTCCTTTGAGTTTCAATTCAGTGGAACTGATGCACTGAATCTGCACATCAAACCCGAACCATTGAAGCTTAGGTTATGGATACTTTAGCTACTTCACAAACGGAAGCTGTTAAATATTTATGCCTACATTCCAAAGTACCATACATATTTATACCATGGTGTGAAATTTTGATAGATGACAAAGTAACTAAAAATTCTTTAATTAGAAGGGGCTTAATATTAAAAAAGGCACATCTTAGCTGTTTGTTTCTTTTTTTTTTATTTAAAGGGTTTGTGGCTCCTAAAAATTGAATGACCTGAACTATAATTTTACATTTTTGACTATAACTATCTCTGTGACTAGACATATCTACTAATGTTTTAATAGTGGGGAAAAAAGTAATCTAATTTTTGCAATAATTCCTTAATACTTGCTAAATTTTCCTCCTTTGAACAGAGTTAGGGAGTTAAAAGAGTTAGGGTCTTTGCCTTTCCCTAGATTTAGACGTCTTAGTTTATGTGTCCTTATTTTGCCAGTAGTATTATTGTGAGAGTCACAGGCATAGCTTCCAAATCTATGTACAAGTAGTCCTTGACTTATAAAAGTTCTGTTAGTGACCACTCAAAGTTACAAAGGCACTGAAACCAGTGACTTATCACCGTTATTTACATTTACAACCATTGCAGCTTCACCATGGTCACATGATCGAAATTCAGGCGCTTGGCAACTGACTCATATTTATGACGGTTGCAGTGACCCAGGTCATGTGATCATCATTTGCAGCCTTTTGACAAGCAAAGTCAAGATTTACTTAACAATTGTGACAAGAAATTAGGCAAAATTCACTTAACAAATGTCTCGCTTAGCAACATAAATTTTTGGCTCAATTGTGGTTGTAAGCTGAGGACTACCTATACGGAATCCTCCAGATGTGTGTTCTTCAACTCAGAATTACCTAGCCACCTAGGTAATCACCTAGTTAAGAAATTCAACCATCAAATCTACACATCTGAAGTGTCTACCTGTAAGAGATA